TTAATTAAATATAGCCAAGCCATTCTGTCTGTTTATATACGAACTAGTCTCTCGTTTTTCCCCTTAAAACTTTCCAAAGCTCAGTTTCACTGTGGCTGGCCGTACGTATGTTTGTAATGGATCGAACTCCAAAAACGATCGTTCGAAAACTTTGTTTAAGTGCAAAGATCTTCTTGTTTATTAAAATGCACCTTAAGGAGGAAAAAAGGAGTCTCCATACATATAAACAAAATTCTATCAACATCGAATTGCTATATCATAGTGGTGACATGAGAAAACTTTTTGTTTATAATGTATGTAGACAAGATTAATGTGGATTTTCAACTAGTAGAAACTTCCCTACCTTGATCTCTATGCAACAACACAAACGCAAATTCATTGTTTTCGAAAAAGAGGAGACTAGAATGTTTTGAGTTATTAATGCCTAATACATATTCATGAAATTTGGTATTGGTTGTAACAGTAAAACTTAATTTTAGGCACAGAAAATCAAATTAAACATTCAAGCAAAGTTTTCTAATATTCAATTTATATGATGATGATCATGGGAAATGGGTAAAAAAAATATGTTTCAGTTCAAATGTATGTGACATTCAGAGGGAAGCAACTCCAACCCCATAAAGTATATATTTATTTGATCAACAACAATAGCCGACTCGATCAAGCCATGCCCGTTTGTTTGTCCGTCTGTCCCTTTGTATGGACGCAAGGTCCATATAAAGAGCTTTAAGAGCAAGAAAAATGAAAAACATTTAATACTTTTCAACAAATTTCGAATGTTCAAGGAAAGATAAGTATGCTTGTTTTAATCTATTATTGAAACTGATTTAATTCTATCAAATAGCCCATGGTCATCAGAAGAGACACAAGTTCGGAAGAGATTCTACTTTCAAGCGCGTGCGCTCGCACACCCAGATTTTGAAATTTCGTGTATAACATACACGTCCACAAAAATGGACGGTAAGATAAGGGACCAACACTTTCTCTTTTTGCAGTCAGACAATTATATGCGTACGAATGTACTTGCATAACAATAAAATATGAACTAGCTGCACGTCTATTAGTCTATCAATCGTTTCCCCCATTCAAAGGCCACTTCATGCAATTTTAAGATCGAATCTCAAAGTCAATAAAAAGTCAGTCATTGACCGACTCTCACGCATATACAAATGCCCGTACCTAATACCAAAAAATAAATATATAAGAAATTGTTGTGCATATACATAACACCTATTTTGTATTTCTCTCTAAGAAAAGCAGATAGGGTGAGAAGCTCATGCACCCCCATAACGGATTTTTCTAGAAAGGTTAGCCTACACCAAACGCAGACCTGTGTAAGCGTCTGGCAATCTCAACCCATTGCCATTCACAGCGAATCGATAATTAGGCGAGAAATATCGAGTTAAGCATTAAGAGCAAAAAGCAGCAAGCCAATAAAGAAGAAGGACGGACGCTTATTCAGAATCTAAGACATAAGCAAATCTTTGTGAAGTTAACGAATTAAACTATTCTATCTTTACTTATGTTTGTATAAGCGTATCTCACTCAGTCGACCTGACCAATTCTTACAGTTCAGAAGTGGGATAGATAGATCGATGTATGTACGTAGATATGCCGTGTTCGCGTACACGCATATACAAACACATGCAGAGAAGAAACGCATAAAAGTCTGGATGAGAATTTTGCAGTGGGATATGTTCCCAAAGGTCTAAGTGACAAAGATTACTGCAAGCTGGGATAAGTTCCCTCGATCTTAGCGTCAGACTGTTTCATAAGTTGAAATACGTTTCCTGCAGCGTCGGTGTGTATAAGTACAGGTAGAAGCCCTGTATGTACGCATGTGTTGGTGAATTTCACAGGGGAATTTCACCATCGAATTTCACAACTTGAGCTAACATTGCGATTACTGTTGCGGAGAAGCAATTCACAGAAGAGTTGGCATCATTTTGTACGAGCACTTCATAGACAAAAAAAAAATTGGAAAGAGATAATAACAAATTTGGAAATATGCAAAGGATAGGAGATTTAAAAGTTGATCAGCTAAAATTCCTGTTGCGAGAGCGAGAATTGTCGACAAGTGGCACACGGGATGAATTTATTCGTCGATTAAAGGAGCATGAAGGCACAGATGAAGTTGAAATGCCACATGCCAATCGGCAAAGCCATGGAGAAAAGGGAGGATCACTTTATCAGCTACAGAATGAAATAAAAAAGTTGAGCGAAATTATGAGTCAGTTTATAAGCATGCAATGCGCTAGTGCTAGTGGACAAATGTCGAATTCGCAACCGGCTGTAAACAATTTAGTGCTAGATACAGAAAGCGAGGGGGATGATGAGTATCAACAAAGCACAGCCACACGGCAAGCTTCGGTCAAGGAAATTGCTAACACGTTGCCTGAGTAATACAATACACACGATCAGGTCTTCAGCACCGTGAACTGCAGCAGAGTATCGCAGCAATGCACTTCTCAACAATGAAGCAGATGCGAGAAACGGCTGAATCCTATTTTGCCAATCCAGGTAGACAACATGAAGTCAGAAACAGCACAGCTCTAAAGTATAGCAACGTTGAACAAAGGCCAGAGAAAGATTCAAAGACAATGAAACCAAAGGCAACACTCAAATGTTATAATTGCAACGAGTTTGGTCACTTTGCAAATCAGTGTCCAAAAGTACCGAAATGTCAGCGCTGTACTAATTGCAACAAATTCCACCCGACTAACGTCAAGTGCAATTCACCAGAAGTAAACTAAACAAATAATCGTCCAAAAACAACCGTACGTCGCTTTTATTGATACTGGTAGCCAAGTGAGTATGGTTCGCAAGTCGGTTGCTCAGTATATTAATGAGGATGCACGTGAGATGGAAACAGCCAGCTTAAAGATATCCAAAACAATCATTGATGAACCGGATTGGTTATTTGCTATACAACTTCAAGATGAAAAGATCCAAAAACTTGTAACTGATATGAAATTCGCCAAAGTAACCGAAAATGACGAGTATGTCATTGAACTAGATCGGCTCTATCGCAAATACAACAACAACTTCTTGTGGGTTGTGCCTAAGCAGCTACGGTATCAGATCCTTTATGAAAGTCATGATAAATCAGGTCATATGAGCGTTGAGAAAACAATGAGCCGTATAACAACTTTATTTTGGTTTCCACGCATGCGAAATTAAGTCAAAGGCTATATAAAGTCCTGTGTGGGATGTGCATTTTTTAGGCAACGAGGTGGTCGCAAAGAGGGACAATATCATTATGACGACATTAAGCCAATACCATTTCAACTTGTTTGTGTCGATGCATTTACCAAATTTACGATTATGCGCGCCGTTAAAAGCACAGCAACCAAGCACATCACCGATATCCCTAAAGAAGTAAGCAGCTATCTGGTGATGCCGCAAAGGATTGTCTCCGATCGAGGTACAGCCTTTACCTCAAAAGATTTTGGAAAGTTCTGTACAGACAATAATATTAAACATGTCCTTAATGCTGTTCGAACACCCAGAGCTAACGGACATGCAGAGCGCATCATATTGTCAATGTTGCTGCCTATGTCCGAATGTCCGTTGGGATGAGAAGATGCACTCCATCCAGTGGAGTATTAACACGATGGCTAACAAGTCTACTAACTGTACTCCGTTCCAGCTATTATATGGTTACGAGGTTACAAAACACTTTAGTGAAATTGAAATTGAAATCCAAAACCAAAATCCTACTATGCTGACAGATACCGAGTTACAGCAACTAAGATGCGACGCTGCCCATCGGGTCAATGATCATCGAGCTAAAGCCAAAAGACGATATGACGCAAGATACGCCAAGCAGACAGTGTATAAACCTGAAGATATTGTTTTGATCGAAAATGAGCCATGCACGGGCACGTCATCATCCCGAATGCAGAGCGAACACAAAAACATTATAAACATGTATTCTTCAAACAAAATCAAACCATAGTGTCAGTTACCGCCAGAGGAGCCCGACGAGGATGAAGACTTCGTTGATGACCAAGTAAACTCATCTCGCGAGGACGCTTTGAATGTCAGGAAAGCCGAATGTAAGCATCAGCCAATCTCAACCCATTGCCATTCACAGCGAATTGATAACTAGGCGAAGAAGTATCGAGTTAAGCATCAAGAGAAAAAAGCAGCAAGCCAATAAAGAAGGAGGACGGACGCTTATTCAGTATCTAAGACAAGCAAATCTTTGTGAAGTTTACGCATTAAACTATTCTATCTTTACTTATGTTTGTATAAACGTATCTCACTCAGTCGACCTGACCAATTGTTACACCTGTGAATGAGGTACATTTGATCCCGCGCCGCCCTCCAAGTATGGATCAACTATTGAATAAGGGCGCCCCTACCCCTCACCTTGTCAGGTCATAAGTTATGTTTATAAAAATTAATAACATAATTAAATTTGTCAGATCTTCCTCTCTAAGCTGGGTGAGTCATGACAAACTGTTATATATATAAATGTTTTTCTTGCTTTTTAATCCCTGAATGCTCTAAGAATTTCATTGATTTTATCGAAACTATATAACAGGCAGAAGAAGGAATTTTTGGTGCCATAAATATGCAGCAGAGGTTAAGGAGGTTAAGAGGTTAAGGATGATGAAGAGGATGAAGAGGCCACCCTAGTGCAATTAAAGATGGAGTTTGCTTTAAATCATTGATAGCTTGCCTGTTTTTATGAAATATATATCGATTTCATATTGTTTTTAAGTATATGGCGCGGATTATAAATAAACAGAATTTAAATGCAGGATATAGTTCCAGAAAATTCCAATTTTTCGACTCTTCTTCCGTAATCAAACAAGTGAATCTTCGAATTCTAGACTTTTACTTTTAAACTCATTTGGCTGCCAAATTTATACCCTGAAAATATCGAAAAAGTCATATAAAAATCATTAAATGTAACTGATTGTTAAGTATTCGCATTTAAAATTTTTTTCCGTCACGTAAATACGTCATTAAATTATTAAACTTTTTTTTAGATCTAAAAAACTTTATGAAATCATTTATAACCGTCTAAATGGTGACCTTTTGATGTGGGAACCACAATCTGCTACAATAAATGATGATAACAACGTGTGCTCCTTTGAATTATGTGTTAAGGAAGGAACATGCATAATTTATACAAATGTTCAAGAATTAGAAAAGACAGATCAACTATCTCTACGTGGAAAATTGCAATGGAATTTAAAAGACTTCCGAGCATTTACGGTGACTGCACTAAATAACGACAAGAATTCGGGATATTTTTGTGTTCAATTAAAAGATATTGATGTATATCACTGTGGTAAGTTTACTTATATATATTATTGATAATAATCTGTGCAAAATATAGTCGGAAAATAATTCAAGAACATTACATGACATGACATTTTTCGACCAAACTATACCTCGTGATTTTCTACAACCCCAACCCTACCGGGCCGTAGCCTCACACCGCCGACGCTAGTCTCGTACCACATGATCCAACTCTAGGTTATGGTGAACATCGGCTAGTCCAGATGTTAGAACAAATAGGGCTAGCAGAGAATAAAAGAATAGCAAGTTCCCTTCATTAATTGGTTTGGAGCCCTAGCGCTCCGTTGTACACTTTCAAGTTTCGTCGCTTGACTGCCGAGTCAAGCCGGCTCAACTACTACGCGAGCTTTCGCAACTTCGATTCGGAGCTTTCGCTCTTCGCTGCCGTATTGAAGTTGCGCTCTCGAAGGCGGTGTTAAGCAACTGATCAGCATCGCACGCTTGTCGTCGTCCTCGGACCACGTTTCACCCGTATTCTCCTGGCGGGTGGCGATGAATGCTTCCACGTACGTTGCGGGCCTAGCGGCGATGTCTCGTCCTCGTGACCGAACCACGCATCCTCTACCCCTCTTCGAGAGGTAGTGCCGGGCGTCTCGGCGCGTGTTAAGGGCACGAATGAGCGAGCCGCATCCTCCGACCCAATGCTCTTCCGCGACCATCTGGCAGATGGTAATTGGCGTTGACATTTCTTTCAACTTATCCTCCTCTGTCCTAGGGTCGAACGCACTAGATGCGGACCCGGAGTCACCTGATCGGACAGAGCGGCGGGGAATCGCGGCTCGCTACTCTGCTTCAGGAAAGCGGGACTGAATTTAGCCACACTTGTATTGACCGCTAGCAATATCTCAGGCGAAAGCTCGTCCCACGAACTCTGATAGCTCTCAATAAATTGCGCTATCATGGCCTACACAGTCCGGTTGGTCTTCCTGGTAGAACTGGTAAGACGGTTAATTATTGCATTTATAAAACGCGGCGTCAGTTCCGTGTTGTTGTTATTGCCTGTTTTGATTATTTTGCTTTGGTGCTCCCCTGTGCATACACTTGTTTGTGCGTGTATTCGTTGCATACTTTCTGCTTGTGCATCGCTCTCTTGCAAATTTTGTATATTGCTTTTCGCTCCTAACAATTTTTTTATGTACGAAAATTTTTTTGAATGTTTACTTGCTCTATCTTGTGCACCGTTTTCGTTTCGCTCTACGCTTTCGTAACTTGCATACGCATTTAATAATTATGTCGTGCTGTACGAAACCGTGCACGTTCAAGCAGGCTGACGATATTGCACTGCCGCAATTTGTTAATTACTGGGTGTGTGAGAATATAATGCATGCTAAATGTGCTGGGCGTGATTGCGACAAGATCGCTGCAATTGCCAATAAGGGCTGCGGCGGCTTGCCTAGGTCGTGCCCAGAATGCATAGACAAGCAAATTGATTGCTCCAGAATGTATAATTCTGTGAGAAATCAATTCATAAAATTGAATAATTTGGCTAAGCAGCTCTCGAGTAATTTTGACTCGTGTTTCGAGTTGCTTGGCAAATATAAATTCGAGTCCCCAATCAATCGCCGGTTGGAGCCTCAACTTTTGCAATTGCCCTCTACGTCTGTTCAGACACCTACGCCTTTTTTGTCCCTTCCTAGCAACTTGAATGTATCTCCAATGTTGTCTTTATCGCCTTCTCCAAGCGACTGTCCAATTACCCCTGTTTCAACCCCTGTAGTAGTCCCAGTAGAGCACGTACCTGATCCCGTCCCAGTTAATCAAACTGCCTCAGCCCCGTCAGCTCCTGGCCGCAAAGGTAGTAATCTTGCCCAGATTGTTAAAACAATCATTGTGCCTCTTTAGCTCCTCCAACTCCTGTATTACCTACAGCCGCATAAGCGCCTACTTTAACGATAGTTGCCCCTCGTAGGCAAGTTTTTGTGTCTCGACTTTCGTCGGACACCACTACTGAGTCATTGGCAGCCTATTTTGTTAGAAAATCTTCTGCTAGCGTGTCAATTACCAATTTTAATTTCTCCATCCCTCGTGAAATATTATCATTCAAAATAAATGTTTCACATGATATGTTCCCAACCATTTGTGATCCCAAATTTTGGCCTACACACATGATTGTTTACGAGCCAGCCTGCCACCCTTCCAGTCCCTTCAATTCAGGGTACCGTTTCAACCCCAAAAAACTAGTTTCATCGTCTGACCAAATTTTTATTTATTATTAGAATGTTAGAGATCTCATTTCAAAGCTTAAAAATCTTTTCATGACCACCACTTCTTTCGATTCAGATATAGTAGCATTTTTAGATACATAGTTATACTCAACCATAGGTTGAGGTTTTATCGAATAACTTTTTTTTTATGATCGGCCGACTCGAGGTGGTGGGGTGTTAATTGCCGTTAAAGCCACTTTCCAGTCTGTACGCCTACTGACGCTGAGATTGTCTCAGTTAAGGTGTCTTCTCCTACACGGAATATCTATATTACATGCTCTTATATCCCTCCTTCTTCTGATATTCAAGTTTATATGAAACATATTACTTGCATAAAAGAAGTTTCTTCACACGTGCGTGATAAAGACCTATTTATGGCGTTGGTTGATTTTAGTTTGCCGAACATCTCTTGGTCATTATTCACTGCTAATTATCTAGTGCCCTCAGCACAGCACGATTTTATAGACTGCATGCTTGATCTTTCGTTGTTTCAAATCAAGACAATTTCTAATCATATGAATAGAACACTTGACCTTGTATTTGTTAACGACTGCCTTATTTCTAATGTGTCTAGGTCCCCTCCTTTATCTCTTCCTGAGGATGTATATCATCCTACTTTGGATATTGCAATGCTCAATTGTAATCCTTTCATTTCGTGCTCATCAGCCAATAAGCCCTGCTGTTGTTTTCACAGAGGAAATTATTCTTTGCTGAATCAGCTTATTTATGCAACCGATTGGTCTTTCTTATATGACTCGGTTGATATGAATACTGCCATTAATTTTTTGTATTGCACCCTAAACTTCCTCTTAGATGTGTGTATTCAAAGTCAATACCTTCGACTACTTTTTCAAAACCACCCCAGTTTACTGCCAGATTATCACATCATAAAATGTAAATATTTTTAAAAAGTTTGGTTCGTGTACAGAATTGGCTAAATAGTCCATAGCCAAGTCGAACTCCGTTCTTCTTAATTATCAATGCTATGAGAATTATCTAACTCGTTGTAAAAGGCAATTTGACCAAAATCCGAGACAGTTTTACAATATTGTAAACTTGAAGCGTAAATCTTCAAGTTTGCTATCTTCTTTCTCTCTTGGGAAGAATAAAGATAGCAATGACACTGATTCTGCTAACCTCTCTCCTAATTTTTGCCAATCAACTTACTCTTCAGTCTGTTCTAATACTAATTCCTATCCTTATACTATTTCTTCCGCTAGTTTTATACCTCCTCCCATTATTTCACACTCCTCTCTCCTATTAGCCATAAACTCATTAAAATCCTCCTCTTACCCTCCTGGGCCGGACAATATTCCTAGTTGTCTACTCAAGGAGTGTAGTTCTTCCCTTTATCCATTGCTAAAGCTTTTTAATCTATCACTTGAAACTTCTGTCTTTCCATCTCTTGGAAAGAATCTTATATCATTCCACTTTATAAGAAAGGTGGGAAGTCTGATATACAAAATTACAGGGGCATTGCAAAACTGTCCTCTATTCCTAAATTATTTGAAAAAATAATCACTTCGAACTTGCAGCATTAATGCAAATCAGTTGTTTCCCCTGTTCAACATGGATTCGTAAAGAATCGGTCAATTACGACCAATCTGCTTGACTTTACTTCCTTGGTAAATTATGCTTTCCTTTCGAAAATGCAAACTGATGTCATTTACACTGACTTCAGTAAGGCGTTTGACTCTGTGCACCATGACATTTTACTTTTTAAGCTTGACCGAATAGGTTTCCCTCCGTCTCTTTTGGTTTGGATTAATTCTTATTTAACAGGTAGGACCTAAAGAGTAATGCTGAGGCTGACTACCTCTAAACGGATTCACGTTACTTTTGGTGTTCCTCAAGGTAGTTATCTTTTTATAAATGATCTCCCCTCTGTTATATCACATGCCCGTGTACTCATGTATGCGGACGATGTCAAACTTTTTCTATCATACAATAATCTCCTACATCATTCTCGTCTACAAGACGATTTGAACGCTATGTAACTTTGGTGTTCGGCCAATCAATTGCATCTAAATTGTTCAACGTGTATGTTTATGGCATTTTATCGTACTACACTCTATCTTGTGAGTTATACAATCGGCAATATCCCTTTGCAACAGTTAACAGTTAAGGATCTAGGCGTTATTTTTGATTCTAAACTCTGTTTAAATCTTCGCATAGATACCATCGTTAATGAGACAAAAGGTGTACTTGGATTCATTAAATGATGGTCTAAAGAGCTTAACGATCCTTTTATAACAAAACTTCTGTACATCTCTCTGGTTTGCCCTATCCTTGTATACTGCTCTTGCATCTGGTCTCCACAGTATATCAATGGCCAGGATCGTATTGAATCTGTTCAGAAGCAACTTCTGCTTTTTGCCTTACGAGGCTTAAATTGAGACCCCAATCTTCGGTTGCCATCCTACTCCAGCAGACTGCTTCTCCTCAACCTTCCATCGTTAACCAACCGTAGGACAATTCTCAGTGTTGTCCTTCTTCAATTCTCTGTTCCGGCTAGACCAACCAGAAATTATCGCCCCTTATTCCTATCTATGTGCACAACAGACTACGCTATGCACAATGCTTTTCGCGTGCTATGTAAAAATTATAATAGTTTGCGTCACGTTTTCTCTACCGAACTTTCTCTAAAAGAAATCGCTGACCATTCCCAGCAGGGGCATAGCTTGCCGGACAGGCTGAAAAATTTTCCCCCACCGGGTCGGTGATTGCCCATGGCTTCTCTTTTTGTCCTATCTACTTAACATTCTTCATTTTACTTACATTGCTT